AATTTTGGTGGGGGGGGGGGGGTTGAGATTTTGATTTCGGCAATATCTTCAATTTATAAATGTTTTCTTTCTTATAGAAAAAGAGGGATAATTTCTAGATTAATTATTAGCATGTTGATTATTTGACCATTAATTTATGTTTTATAACACCCATGGAGAATGAAAGATTGAATTCTACAACATACATGATATATGTAAGTTTAAAATAGGATAACTCTCAAAATTCAGAATATCTTTATTTTATAATTTGAATTTCTCTAGCCGATCCGAGCGTCCTTGATCCGTACCCTTGAATCTTAAAATTTAGATTTTGCCGAATCCTTCCCTCGGATACCTGCACCCAAGTCCGAGCAACTTAGATGTTGATCACTAAAACAACAAGTTACTCCCAACTTTTGGTTGGGGAGAATTAGGGTGGGAGATTGTGGTGTTGCCTTGGCCTTATTTCCTATTGTTTGTACTGTGCAGGATTCGGCGAAACTTAACCGGTGTAGAGAACTGTTGTCCATGCATGAGGATCTGAAAAAAGCTCGAAAGGCTTTTGAGTTCGATCAAGAGGAATTGGCACACATGAGTGAGGGGGAAGTGTGAAGTTATGATGTTACTTGAGAATGCCAAATTGAGTGGGCACCATAGGACCAGTATACAATATACCAACACAGGAGTAAATAGCTGCTTCTCCTTACTTTCCTCTAGCACAATAGATGGCTGAGTCACCTTGTAGTTGCTGCGCTTAGAGCTGTCTAGTCTTTGTTCAATTACCTATCTTCTTAAAACATACTTTCCTCTAGGTTACGAGTGCAATGTTGATACTGTCATTGAATATTTGTCAAATAAGAAAATGTGTCATTCTTTTACGAATTGACTAAAAAGAAAAATGTGTCATATAAATTGGTACATACGAAGTATTACATTATGCTAGTCTTAGAAAATGCTCTCTCACACACACACGCCAGTTCTCAGAAGCACTCTCTCCCACACATTATGATCTATTTACAATAGAATTAGAAAGGTGTCAGGCTCTTTGGTGTGATTCTTTCAACTTTAGCAACCCGTTGAGGAGGCCACACAACATGAGTAACCTTTCCACGAACCAAACCCAGAGGGATCTGAAAAAGGAAAGCCTTTTCAAGTCAATCAAATGAACTTATTGCAAATACACTAACATTAAAATGTCACTATACACTAAAGGGTCTTCACTTTTATTTGAATTTGAACCAAAAGATCTAGCTACATTACCTGAAGTTGTTCTAATGTAACCTTGTATTAACTTTACTTACTGTACAGGATTCTCTTGATATTAAATTCCTCTTCAATTAGCAGGGGAGTATCGATTAATATGTAACGTACAGGGCCAAAGGATCTCGAGTCCAAGCTCCAAGTCTGATTGTCGCCTTCAACCCAACAATGTCCTTCGGGGATCACTACTGCATCATAATGAGAGGTACTTACCATGTCACCTGGTAAGGCCGTTATTCTCTTTATATTTTTCTCTTTATGATTAGTTGGAGAGCTGAAATGTATGTCTACTACAAATCAGACAATGGGTGCAAAAGATAGTTTAGGGAAAATTAGAACATATTTACGGTGTGTTTGGTATGAAGGAAATTGTTTTCCATGGAAAATGTTTTCCTGGAAAATAAGTTGATTTTTGATTTATTTTCTCATGTTTGGTTGGTGAGTAGAAAATATTTTTCGAAAAAGATTTTTAGTGTTTGATTTATGAATGAAAAAATATTTTTAAGAAATATCTTTTATTTTTATTAGAGTAGAAAATAATTTTTGAAATTGAAAAAATGTTTTAAAGACAAACTTAAAATTTTTTTGGGGCATGGGAGGAGTGGTAGGGGGTGGGTGAAGGG